TGGAGGCTGAAGGTTATGTCGCTTATAGGCCTTAACCCAAGCCTAGAGAAGCATTTCGATACTAGACAATAATCTAAGCTCCTGCATATGACCCAATAATGAATCATGTAAACTTTTTCTTCTTTCAACAAACCGGCCGTATCCCACCAAGGCGGGGTGGCCCAAAAGGAAAAACGAAAGTTTCTCCTTTTAAATTTAGTAATATATACAGAAGAAGGGGTTACTAGCCCCTTGCTCCCGGCATTTTAGTCGCCTCTTACGACACGCATGGCTTATGGAGGAAGAATTCTGTTCCACTTCCCCATGGAGGTCATGTAAACTATTTCGTATAAAATAACGAGCAACAAAAATAACCATAAATAATTGTAAAAATTTGTTAATGCTTAGCACCAGTAGGCTAAATTAATCCAGGCAATGGAGTTGGATGAACTACAGGTAGTATCAGTAGGCTAATTTGCCTGTTTACCATAAAACCACCTGGTAATAATATTTTTACTCACCTCCAATGATCATATTAACCCTTTTGAGGTCCATGCCCAAGTATTATGGCTTTGAGCTCAGTCATTGCAGTAGTACTATGTGATGAGCTCAGCCCACTCAGATAAGCTGTGAGCAGCAAATTCTGGCCTAGATACGAGAGGATGGGTCTGGGTGGTGAGTGTGCATCATATCAAAAAAATCCTGCCCCATGCAGTGCATGATAAAAAAAAAAAACTGACCAGGTGTATGATTTAATATAGTGACTTTGTGGTGTATTTTAAGATGGTTTTTAGGGCTTTATTTTCAGTTTCTTGGTATCATTTGATAGATATATTACAGAAAGAGTGACTTTTGATTGGTTGAGAACTGGAAGTAGTTTGAAATTGAGCTCAAAGTAGCAGAAATATTCAATTCTTGTCAATACTCCAGTGGACACTACTCATGTCACTCATCTAATACATGTCCAACTGCCCAGTCTAATACATATTCACTACTGCTCTGACATTATCTACAATTTTTTTTTTTCAACACGTCAGTCGTCTCCCACCAAAGCAGGGTGACTCAAAGAGAAAGATAATTCCCAAAACGAAAATACTTTCATCATCATTCAACACTTTCACCTCACTCATACATAATCAATGTCTTTGCAGAGGCGTTCAGATACAACAGTTTAGAAGACCCTCCAAACCCCTCCTTTAAAGTGCAGGCACTGTACTTCCTATTTCCAGTACTCAAGTCCGGCTAACCGGTTTCCCTGAATCCCTTCACAAAATATTACCCTGCTCAGACTCCAACAGCTTGTCAGGTCCCAAAAACCATTCGTCTCCATTCACTCCTATCTAACACGCTCATACATGCTTGCTGTTTACCCCTCCCTCCAACATTTTCGAGGACAACCCCTACCCCGCCTTCCTTCCCCTACAGATTTATACACTCTCCAAGTCATTCTACTTTGATCCATTCTCTCTAAATGACCAAACCACCTCAACAACCCCTCTTTAGCCCTCTGACTATACTTTTAGTAGCTCCACACCTCCTAATTTCCACACTCCGAATTCTCTGCACAATATTTGCACCACACATTGCCCTTAGACAAGACACCTCCACTGCCTCCAGCCACATCCTCACTGCAGCATTTGCAACCCAAGCTTCACACCCATATAAGAGTGTTGGTACCACTATTCAATTACTATTACAATAATGAAGTTGCCTGTATAACAGTAAATATACTACTAACTAAATAGTAAAATCAATACACTTAAAACGTAAACATGAAATATTTTCAAAACACATGAAAAAACATGAAGTCCTAGCAGTAGACACATTCACTTGCATGCAATGAGACAGTGAGCAAAAAGAGAACACAGCCAATCACAACAAGACACAGCTACAATTGCTGAGGAAGAGATAGATGATTGGGATTTAGCAGATCTAGAATAATCTGCTATATACTGGAGATTGAGACCAGTGCATAATGTGTTATTTTTGTAATTAATGGTATTAGCATATTTTTTAGTGCCGATTCATATAAATTTAGTGCGGTTTAGCTTGTTTCAGGATTTTTTTTTTCTTTTCAAAAATTTAGCCTGTCAGAATGGTGTGTGTGTGTGTGTGTGTACGTGTACGTACTAGACACTGGAGCATCTTGTTCTCTGTAAAATATGGTAATTTGAAGCTCCACTGACAAAGTCCTCATTTTATGAGGACCTGTCAGAAGAAATTTTCCCATTGTTCTTGGGGGAAGGAAAAAAAAAAAAACCCACACTTATTTTCAAATTACCTTTCATGATGACAATATCTTATTTTAAAAACTACTTTTAACCCCTAAACGGTCCAAACGTATATATATGTTCTTATGTGTAGCGCCCCTAACGTTTTAATTTTCCTGCCTCCAAATTTGGCACGATTGCCCTGAGATGCCTGGTCAGCACTGAATGGGTCTTAACACTCGGTGTGCACCATATCAAAAAAATTTGGGACCACTTAGTACCTTGTGGGAGTGCCAGTTAAATTGAGCGCCAGCTAGAGCAAACAGTGCGGCAAACACCAAGGATTCACTGATGTAATGTAATATTAACACTCCTCTTTTAAGAGGAAAGTGATGTTAACCCCAAGTTTAGGGTCTGTCGATCTCTGTATCTGTCTATGTCTACCTCTATCTCTATCTTTCAATCTGTCTCTGTCTATCTCTGTCTCACAGGTACACATAAATACAAGTATACATAGTGTACATTACCTAGGATAACCCAAAAAATCCAGACAAAGTGCTATACTCTGCTTGAAGATGTGAGTAAACGTGATGATGCAGTCTTGTGGCTCTCTCTGAGACAGAGAGCTAGACATAGACAGGGAGCTTGACAGACAGACATGTTTGTGTACCAGCAAAACCAAAGCAGGGTCGATGCTCATCAAATGTTATCACTGCACCCTCACGTATGATCATCAAACTTATCAGATGTTATCTCATCTTATCATGTAACTGTCAGGGGTGGACTTTGTTCTTCATGCTTCAAGGGAACTTCTTCTCCTCCTCCTCCTTCTCCTCCATCTTCTTCTTCTCCTTCTCCCTCCTCTTCTTCCTCCTCTTCTTCTTCTTCATCTTCTTCTTCCTCCTCTTCTTCTTCCTCTTCCTCTTCTTCTTCTTCCTCTTCTTCCTCTTCCTCCTCTTCTTCTTCCGCCTCCGCCGCCTCCTCCTCCTCTTCCTTCTTCTCCTCCTCCTTCTCGTTCTTCTCCTCCTCCTCCTCCTTCTCCTCCTCCTCCTCCACCAAAACATTGCTGGGACATATAAATACTTTGTATATATTCCAAGACAATAGTAAATGGCAAAGGCAGGTGTAAATGTCCACCTGTCAATGTGTTTGTGACAATTTGAGTACAATTTCAGTACATAATACTAGTGTCAGAACAAAGAATGGTTATGAAATGACAAGAACTACTATAAATTGTAATTATCAGAACATAAAAATTATATAAAATAGTGTAATATGAAAAATTGCAGGTAGTAGTTTGGTAGACAGCAACCACCCAGGGAGGTACTACCGTCCTGCCAAGTGAGTGTAAAACGAAAGCCTGAATTGTTTTACATAATGGTAGGATTGCTGGTGTCCTTTTTTCTGTCTCATGAACATGCAAGATTTCAGGTACGTCTTGCTACTTCTACTTGCACTCAGGTCACACTGCACATACGTGTATAAGCATATACATGTATATGCACACCCCTCTGGGTTTTCTTCTGTTTTCTCTCTAGTTCTTATTCTTGTTTATTTCCTATCTCCATGGGGAAGTGGAACAGAATTCTTCCTCCGTAACCCATGCGTGTTGTAGGAGGCGACTAAAATGCTGAGAGCAAGGGGCTAGTAACCCCTGCTCCTGTACAAATTACTAAATTTAAAAAGAGAAACTTTCGTTTTTCTTTTTGGGCCACCCTGCCTTGGTGGGATACGGCCAGTTTGTTGAAAGAAGAAGAATATGAAAAATAGAAAAAAAGGTTTATCAGCAACAACTGGCAGGACTCGATGTTGCCGTCATGTGAGCATCCAGTGCCAACTTCTCAACCTCATATCTCTAAGTCTTTCTTTCAACACACCGGCCATATCCCACCGAGGTGGGGTGGCCCAAAAGGAAAAACGAAAGTTTCTCCTTTTACATTTAGTAATATATACAGGAGAAGGGGTTATTAGCCCCTTGCTCCCGGCATTTTAGTCGCCTCTTACGACACGCATGGCTTACGGAGGAAGAATTCTGTTCCACTTCCCCATGGAGGTAATAGGAAATAAACATGAACAAGAACTAGAAAGAAAATAGAAGAAAACTCAAAGGGGTGTGTATATATATGCTTGACATGTATGTGTAGTGTGACCTAAGTGTAAGTAGAAGTAGCAAGACATACCTGAAATCTTGCATGTTTCTTTCTTTCTGTCAACACACCGGCTGTATCCCACCAAGCCAGGGTGGCCCAAAAAGAAAAATGAAAGTTTCTCTTAAATTTAATAATTTATACGGGAGAAGGGGTTACTAGCCCTTTGCTCCTGGCATTTTAGTCGCCTCTTACGACACGCATGGCTTACGGAGGAAGAATTCTGTTCCACTTCCCCATGGAGATAAGAGGAAATAAACAAGAACAAGAACTAGAAAGAAAATAGAAGAATACCTAGAGGGGTGTGTATATATATGCTTGTACATGTATGTGTAGTGTGACCTAAGTGTAAGTAGAAGTAACAAGACATACCTGAAATCTTGCATGTTTATGAGACAGAAAAAAGGACACCAGCAATCCTACCATCATGTAAAACAATTACAGGCTTTCATTTTACACTCACTTGGCAGGACGGTAGTACCTCCCTGGACGGTTGCTGTCTACCAACTTACTACCTAGGATATCTCTAATTACTGACCCTAATTTTTTTATTCTAAAACACTTAAAAAAATGTGCTCTTTTTTTTTTTTTTCAAAATATTCGGGGCACTGCGCAAGTGAACGTATATATACGTTTGGACCGTTTAAGGGTTAATCAACAGGTGCTCCAAGAAACTCGGTTAATCATTTAGTGTGCCAATGAATATGTTTTGTTGTAAACTGAAATAATTAATGTAGTGTGACTCAAAATCCAGAATCAAAATTGCTAAAAATATAGCTTTTTTTTTAATACCTTGGCACAATAATGATGCGCTTTTAGTTTCTCTTATTTTAGTACCCGCTAGTCTAAATTTTGATAGAAATGTAACCAGGAGTATAAAACACAGGAGAACAAGCCTCTTTATTGGACAATGCTTCACCATAAACATAACTCATCAAATTCACATGATAGACTAGTTTAATAAGGCAAAAAGACGTCCAATAAAAAGCCTTACTCTGATATACATGTTTTGCAGTCCTAAGTTGGCATCTACTCTCCATTCACTACAGAAATAGAATCGTCCTTTTGGGATTACTGGTGTATGTATAACAATCTCCTGGTTTTGCTAGTCCACAATACCAGAACCTGCCACTCATGTCTGATAGTAGCACTGCTGTAAATGAACTATTTTTAGCTACTTGTAAAATGTCAAGAAATCTAATTATAAATTTTATTACTAGACTTTCATATACAGATCTTTCCCTACCATTTTTATTGGCTTTGGATGCATGTACAATGAGAGCATCGACTGGTCCTCCTCTGACTTCTGGACCCTCATCACCTTCCTTTTTCAATACCAAATATTCTCTCACATCGAGGAGGTCCAGAGGTCCTTCTTCTTCTTCTTCATCTTCTACCTCTTCCTCTTTCAACTCCAACTCCTTCTGCCTCTCTATTTCCAAAGACTGATCCTTAATAATAACTTCTTCTGGTTCATCTTTTTCTTCCATTGTTTTCCTACATACATTGTCATCTCTGAAATTAATAATACAATAATGAATTTTAATTTATTATTACATTTCAACCTTAAACAAAATCACTTTATATTTTTAATTTGAAGTATTTAAGTACTACTATTTTTAAAACCAGATTTTCTGTTTTTCAATGACGATTTTGAATTCATTTTCTTTATATAAACTTACAAAACAGAGGAATTTTGCTGTGTATAATTGATGGCGATGTTTGTTACAGGTAAGGGCTTTGATGCTACTGGTAAAGACTGCCTTGTATGTGTAACGAAAGTCCCTCGTCTCGTTTTAGGAGGTAATGCAGGTGGCTGGATTGACACATGGCTCATCCTGTTTAAAAAAAAAAAAAAAAGTGTTTAGTGACTTCAGTTACAGTACTGTGCTTCTATTGAGGTTTTGCACATGACATCATAAGTTACTAACACTTATCTTGTTAGCCATAGTGGTTGATCCTGTACACATTGTGTGTGTGCGCGCGCGCGTGTGTGCGTGTACTCACCCACCTAATTCACCTAATTGTGGTTGCAGGGGTCGAGACTCGGCTCCTAGACCCGCCTCTTCACCGACTGCTACTAGGTCCTCTCTCTCCCTGCTCCATGAGCTTTATCATACCTTGTCTTAAAACTATGTATAGTTCCTGTCTCTACTACATCGCTTGCCAGACTATCACTATTCCGGGGTTAAATTCTAGGAGCCAGTTTCTGGACCACACATCCAGCCTGTCCAGGTCTCTTTGTAGACCTATCTGGTCCGCATCTGATTTAATTCTCCTCATTAACTTCACGTCATCTGCAAACAGGGACACTTCTGAGTCTATCCCTTCCGTCATGTCATTCACATATACCAAGAATAGCATTGGTCCCAGGGCTGATCGCTGTGGGACCCCGCTCGTCACTGGCGCCCATTGTGATACCTCATCACGGACCATGACTCGCTGTTGCCTCCCTGTTAGGTATTCTCTGATCCATTTCTTTGCCCTTCCTGTTATACATGCCTGTTCCTCTAGCTTCTGTACTAATCTCTTGTGAGGAACTGTGTCAAAGGCCTTCTTGCTGCCCAAGAAAATGCAATCAACCCACCCCTCCCTCTCATTTCTTACTTGTTACCTTGTCATAAAACTCTAGTAGGTCTGTGACACGGGATTTGCCTTCCATGAATCCGTGCTGGCTGTCGTTTATAATCTTGTTCCGCTCCAGGTGCTCCACCACTCTCCTGATAATCTTTTCCAAGACTTTGCATACTATGCATATCAGTGACACTGGTCTATAATTCAGTGCTTCATTTCTGTCTCCCTTCTTAAAGATGGGGACTACATTTGCCTTCTTCCATACTTCAGGTAGTTGCCCAGTTTCAAGGGAAGTGTTGAAGATTTTGGTTAGTGGCACATGTAGTGTCCCTGCTCCCTCTCTAAGGACCCATGGAGAGATGTTGTCCGGTCCCACTGCCTTTGAGGTATCAAGGTCACTTAGGAGCTTCTCCACCTCCTCCTCAGTTGTAATTCATCCAACACTTGTTGGTATATCCCTTGTTGCTGTACCCCACTGTTTTGTCTTTCTGTTGTCCCTTCAGCCTTCACTGTAAATACTTCCTGAAATCTCATGGTGAGCTCCTCACATACCTCCTGGTCATTTCTTGTGAGCTCCCCACCTTCCTTCCTCAGCCTGATTACCTGGTCCTTGACTGCTGTCTTCCTCCTGAAGTGGCTGTAGAGTCGTTTCGGATCAGACTTGCCTTTCGATGCTGTGTCATTTTCATACTGCTGCTGCGCCTCCCTCCTTATCTGTGCATACTCGTTTCTGGTTCGTCGACAAATCTCTTTATTCTCCTGAGTCCTCTGCCTTCTGTACTTTTTCCATTCTCTAGAGCACTTAGTTTTTGCCTCCCTGCACCTTCGGGTAAACCAAGGGCTTGTTCTGTCCTTCCCATTAATTCTGTTACCCTTGGGAACAAACCTTTCCTCTGCCTCCTTGCATTTTGTTGTTACAAAGTCCATTATTTCATTTACTGATTTTCCTACCAACTCCTGTTCCTACTGAATCTCCTGCAAGAAGATCCTCATTCCTGTGTAGTCCCCCCCTTTACAGTTTAGCTTTTCCCTTTCTACTCCTGTTACCCTCTCCACTTTTAGCTCCATGATACATTCAAAGCTCCTAACTACGTGGTCACTAGCTCCAGGGGGCCTTTCATATGTGATTGTGCTCAATGTCTGAGCTACTCAGGGTGAACACGAGGTCCAGTCTTGCTGGTTCATCCTCCCCTCTCTCTCTGGTAGTATCCCTAACATGTTGGTGCATGAGATTTGCCAGCACCACAACCATTATCTTGGCTCTCCATGTGGCTCCAGGTTTTCCCAGTCAATCTCCCTGTGATTGAAGTCGCCCATGACCAGTAACTTCACTCTACTTAAGTGAGCCCTACTTGCCACCTCAGCTAGAGTGTCCACCATTGCTCTGTTGCACTCATCATATTCCTCTCTTGGCCTCCTGCAGTTCTGTGGTGGGTTATACATCACTGCAATGACAACCTTGTGTTCCCCTGACTGAACTGTACCTACTATGTAATCCATTTCTCCAATCTCGTCCATACCTTCCATTTCTTGATAACCCCACCATTTTTTATTAGTAGTGCAACCCCTCCTCCCCTCCTACTCCTTCTGTCCTTCCTCAGGATCTGATATCTAGGTGGGAAGATTGCATCTGTTATTATCCCAGTGAGTTTTGTTTCTGTAACTGCTATGATGTCTGGGGACATCTTGATTCTTTCATGCCACTCCTCACATTTATTCATTATTCCATCCACATTCGTGTACCAAACCTTCAACGTCTTTTCAATAACTGTGGTCTGGGGAGAGAGGTGGGTTAGGGGGAGCAAGTGCCCTGGCAGAGGCCTATAGGGGGTTGGTGTGGGGGTGGGGTCTGTGGTTTGGGGTGTGGGGGCAGAGGGCCTATCTGGGGTTTCAGTGGGGGTGAAGGTTGTAGTGAGGGGGATGGGGGAAGAGGGCCTATGGGGGGTTACAGTGGGGGAGGGGGTTGTGGTGAGGGGGATGGGGATAGAGGGTACAGTGTGTGGAGGGTACAGTGTGTGGGTTGCTGTGGGTTACTGTGAGGGTGGGGTTTGTGGTGAGGGGGATGGGGAAGAGGGTACATTGTGTGGGTTACTTTGGGTTTCTGTGGGGTGGGGTTTGAGCTGAGAGGGATGTGCAGGTTACTGTGGGGGTGGAGTTTATGCAGAGGGGGATGTGGGGGTTACTGTGGGTTTCTGTGCGGGTGGGGCTTGTGCTGAGGGGGATGGGGGCAGAGGGTACAGTGAGTGGGTTTTGGGTTAGGTCATTTGATTGCTTTGGGACTGCCATGGTTGTGTTCCTTCTGTAGGTGGTACTGGAGGGGGTTGTGTTTGAGAATGTATAAATATGGGGATGAGGGAAAGGGGTAGGGATCTTTGCAGGAAAGGTTGGAGGAAGAGAGAAAAGGAGAGGGTTTTGAATGCTAGGAGCTGGGACATCCAACAGGCTATATGTATGTATGTATGTGTGTGTATGTGTGTGTGTGTGGTGTGTGTGTGTGTGTGTGTGTTGTGTGTGGTGTGTGGTGTGTGTGTGTGTGTGTGTGTGGTGTGTGTGTGTGGTGTGTGTGTGTGTGTGTGTGTGTGTGTGTGTGTGTGAAGTCTCCAATCTTTATAAACTTCTACAATGGTCTTTGTTTGTGCTATTGGGCGTAGAAAGCAGCAAGATGATAAGCCTAATCTAACAATACATATGTTTTTCAAAGGTTTTGAAAGACTAGGAGCCAACAGAAAAATTTCCTCCAAGGAAAGTGCCCTGACGCTGGTAAGTGGCTCTTGTACCTGGAGTTTATCTGGAGGGTGTTCCGGGAGTCAAAGCCCCTGCAGCCCTGTCCATACCCTCTCCTTTCCTCAGATCAAACCTGATTACCGCCCATTTCCAGACACTGTATGACTCCTATGGGTTTAGCTCATCCCCAAGAAATGAAGTTTCAAAGGTTGGTGGAGGAATTTGAGAGGGGATATAAAAAGAAGTAAATTAAAAATGAACATAAAGCACAAGGTGATGAGAGTAACAAAATATCTAGACAATGAAAAATTGCATATCATATTAGAAGGAGTATGGAGGAAGTAAATGGGTTCAGATATTAGGGGTGAACTTTTTGGCAGATGGGTTCATGAAAGATGAGGTGAATCACAGAAATAAAGGAAAAAATGTATGTGGTGCACTGAAACATCTATGGAACCCAAGAAATTTCCCACAGAGGCAAAAAACTTGAATGTACTCAAGTATGTATAGTAATATCAGCACTGTTGTATGGGTGTGAGGCATGGTCTTTAAACATTGTAGCAGGGAAGAAGCTGGAGACAGTAGAGATGTGTTTAAGGGCAATTTGTGGTGAGACTATTATGCTGAGGGCTGAGGAGGGGTTGCTGAGAGAGTTTGGACAGTTAGAGAAGCCAAAGCAAAATAGGATGACTAGGAGAATGTATAAATCTGGGGAAGAGCGAAAGGGGTAGGGATCTTTCCAGGAAAGGTTGGAGGAAGAGAGAAAAGGAGAGGGTTTTGAATGCTAGGAGCTGGGACATCCAACAGGCTATATGCGAGTGCATTAAATGGCAGTGAGTGGAGTCAAGTGGTTTTTCATTACTTCGCTTGTACTCCAACAGAAAGTCGAGTAACATTTATGAAAGAATTCAGAAACACTAGTTAGTTGGTCTTGAGTTCTGGAGGTGGGAAGTAGTACCAGCACACTGAAGGAAGGGTTATGTTGCAGTTCAGTGGGCCATCTGAAATCTATGATGTTAGCATGCTTCTGGCAAGACAGTAATTGAATGAGTGATGGTGAAAGTGTTTCTCCATTTTCAAGTGACCCTATCTTGGTGGAAGATAGAAATTGTTAAAAAACTCTTTATAAAAGAAATTACCATACAATTAAATTTTATTTTTATTTTATCATTAACACATCGCCGTTTCCCACCAAGGTAGGGTGGCCTACAAAAAGAAAAATTTTTCATCATCACTCACTCCATCACTGTCTTGCTAGAGGCATGCTTACACTACAGTTATAAAACTGCAACACTAACACCCCTCCTTCTGAGTGCTGGAACTGTACTTCCCATCTCCAGGAATCAAGTCTGGCCTGCTGGTTTCCATGAATTCCTTCATAAATGTTACCTTGCTTACACTCCAACAGCACGTCAAGTCCTAAAAACCATTTGTCTCCATTCGCTCCTATCTAACATGCTCACACACACTTGCTGGAAGTCCAAGCCCCTCACACACAAAACCTCCTTTACCCCCTCCCTCCAACTTATCCTAGGCCGACCCCTACCCCGCCTTCCCTCCACTACAGATTTATACACTCTCGAAGTCATTCTATTTTGTTCCATCCTCTCTACATGTCCAAACCATCTCAATAACCTCGTCAGCCCTCTGGATAATAGTTTTGGCAATCGCACACCTAATCTCCAAACTACGGATTCTCTGCATTATATTCACACCACACATTGCCCTCAGACATGACATCTCCACTGCCTCCAGTCTTCTCCTTGTTGCAACATTCAAAACCCATGCCTCACACCCATACAAGAGCATTGGTATAACTATACTCTCACACATTCCCCTCTTTGCTTTCATTGATAAAGTCCTGTCTCCACAGACTCCTCAGTGCACCACTCACCTTTTTCCCCTCATTAATTCTATGACTCACCTCATCCTTCATAGACCCATCTGCTGACACAACCAATCCCAAATATCTAAACACATTCACCTCCTCCATATTCTCTCCTTCCAATCTGATATCAAATCTTCCATTACCTAATTTTTTTGTTATCCTCATCACCTCACTCTTTCCTATATTCACTTTTAATTTCCTTCTTTTACATACCTTACCAAACTCATCAACCAACCTCTGCAACTTCTCTTCAGAATCCCCCAAAAGCAGTGTCATCAGCAAAGAGCAACTCCCATTTTGTGTTAGATTCTTTATCTTTTAACCCGTACCTCTTGCCAACACCCGAGCATTCACTTCTCTTACAACGCTATCTATAAATATATTGAACAACCATGGTGACATCACACATCCCTGTCTAAGGCCTACTTTTACTGGGAAATAATCTCCCTCTCGCCTACATACTCTAACCGGAGCCTCACTATCCTCATAAAAACTTTTCACCACATTTAGTAACCTACCTCCTATTCCATACATTTGCAACATCTACCACATTACCCCGCTATCCACCCTATCATATGCCTTTTCCAAATCCATAAATGCCACAAATACCTCTTCACCCTTATCTAAATATTGTTCACCTATATGTTTCACTGCAAATACTTGGTCTACACACCCCCTACCCTTCCTAAAGCCTCCTTGCTCATCTGCTATCCTGCTCTCCGTCTTGCTCTTAATTCTTTCAATAATAACTCTACCATACACTTTACCAGGTATACTTGACAGACTTATTCCTCTATAATTTTTACAATCTCTTTTGTCCCCTTTCCCTTTATACAAAGGAACTATGCATGCTCTCTGCCAATCCCTAGGTACCTTACCCTCTTCTATATATTTATTAAATAAAAACACTAACCACTCCAAAATTATATCCCTACCTGCCTTTAACATTTCTATCTTTATCCCATCAATCCCAGCTGCTTTACCCCCTTTTAAATGACGTTTTATTTTAGGCAATTCTGATTTGTAGAGGTATTCATTTTATATAACCACTACTAAAAGTGTTAAAACTCCAATCAATGCAATGTCTGCTATTAAGTATTACTTAAAGCTTCAATACTGTGGTTTAATGACAAAGCCATGAATAGTAAGTACAAGGTGTCTCATTACATATCAACTGTGAGGGACAGTAAAAACGAATCCTAAACTTACCCATCAATTATTGCTGGATATGATGTATGAAAGAAGTCATGTTCATGATCATGCTCATGAAAATTAGACTCTATTGCCGAGACCAAGTGCATTTGGTGTACAGAATGTCGCAACAGTTCGTTGGGGTTAGGTTCACTAACTTGACCAAACAGCTTCATGTATTCGTGAACTGTGGAAACATTTAAGACATCATTAGAGCATAGTCTTTCAACAGACTGAAGTTCATGGATATGAGGAGAGAGCTTTCATAGTTAAGTAATCTTTTGAGGCAAGTCAAGAAACCAATGGCAAATACCAATTTAATAAGGAAAATTGTATTGACATGTGAATATCAACACAGTGGAATAAATAAGACAACCGTAAAAGCTCGTAAACCAAGCGAAATATTACTATTAATAAATTTTTCCCAGACTTTTATTTGATCCCGGATTGAATGTTGTTGAATTTAGTTGACACTGTTGTAATGACCAAGCTGAGGGAAAACAAAGAATTACTGTAGTTAGGGTAGCAATGGTGATTCTAAAAAGTTTTTCCTCTCATTCTTTCTAGTACTGGATTCAATACAGAAAATATGATAAAATTTATTTCACTAAAAAAAACCAAGAATTAGATTTTTAAAAGCAAAAAATATAAGTTGCAGTACCATGCTTTTTCTTCTTCTCTGGCAAAGGTGGTGGGTTATCATCACTGCCAGAAGAAATGTAGTGCGACTCAAATTTCTCAAACTTGTTATGCTTGCGGAGCTGAACTACACTGCCTCCTCCATGGCTACTTGTGGTGCTGCTGTTGCTGACCATGCTGGTGGTGCTGCTACTGTACCCACTGCTACTGACACTGCTGGTGCTGCTACTGCTACTACTGCCCAGCTGTATGCTACAGCTGGCCTTAGGAGGCAGTTTGGGACTTGGATCTTCTTTCAGCTGAAAACAAACCATTATTACTTGATGTAAACTATTGTACTAAGCCTTAATAGACCTAATTATTTTATAAAACCTTTTTTTATTTGAAGTTCAACAAATGCTATATTTGTATAAAAATTACTGAGAACCACAGCTGAACTACAGCAGTTGCATTTCTGATATTATGACTTATAAATGAATTGTACGTAGTACTTGAAACCTATTATATATAACCACAGAACAAAGAATGGATATGTTACACATGTTCAGAAGTGTAGATCAACTTCCACAAAGCAATTTCTCTCAATATTCCTTATGAACATCAGTGACAAGTATGGTTATTCGTAACTTGGATGATTGTAACTCAGGGATCCCCCAAATTATTAGGTTTAAAAAGGAAAAGTGAAGGAATTTCATGATTATAACTTAAGTTTGTTTAGATGTGAATAAGCATCATTAGGTTGAGAACATTTATGCACTTGATCTACCTTATATACTATGGAAATGAAGCTACAGGCTTTACACACACATTTGATTTCAACTTCTTAAATAAAGGCTGACTTATGCCATTGCTTATCCATATCTTAGCACTTGTGAAACTTCTCTAAAAATTACAGTACTTTTAATCTCACCTTAAGTCTCGGCTCTCCACCATCAACATGATCAAACTCAAGATTGTCATATGAAGATGTGGCCCGAGCCTCCGAGGAGCCTCTGCCCTGATATGGACGCTGCTTTGCAGGCAATGCAGGGGGCACAACCACGGATATTGTGTGATTTTCATATTTTTCTCCCTGTAAGGAAGCATCAAATTACTATATCATACAATACACAAAATATGCAGTGTTGATGAGCCATAACAAATATGCCTTTAGTGAGATTAGATCTGCTTCACATGGTTAGCATGAAATAAATTACAGTAATTATAAGATGTCCTCCATGGGGAAGTGGAACAGAATTCTTCCTCCGTAACCAATGCGTGTCGTAAGAGGCGACTAAAATGCCGGAAGCAAGGGGCTAGTAACCCCTTCTCCTGTATATATTACTAAATGTAAAAGGAGAAACTTTCGTTTTTCCTTTTGGGCCACCCCACCTCGGTGGGATACGGCCGGTGTGTTGAAAGAAAGAAGAAAGAATTATAAGATAAATAATATAAGGCAAAATTTTCATTCCTATTATAAAAATGAATTCAAGAATGTAAAATTAAAAAAATCCACTAATTAAATTTATTCACAAAGTTTTCAACACTATAGCTGTCAAGAGTTTCAGATGGCATAAGGTTTACATATGCTAAATATACAGCAAAGTGTGGGACTAACTTTAAGAAAAAAATTTCAACACAGATCCCTGCCACCTATGCTCTTAATATTTACTATAGCTCCATTTTTAGGATTAAAAATCATACAGTAAACTGCATAAATAGAAAAGAAGAAGAAAGATATATCACAAAGTTGGAGAAATTTAAATATACATTTGACGTATTAAATGGCAAAAGACAAAATAGCAAAACTTGATGGGGTGCAATGAAAATTAATGAAACACTATACAAATACATTTTTTTATTTTTTCAACAAACTGGCCGTATCCCACCGAGGCAGGGTGGCCCAAAAAGAAAAACAAAAGTTTCTCTTTAAATTTAGTAATCTATACAGGAGAAGGGGTTACTAGTTCCTTGCTCCCGGCATTTTAGTTGCCTCTTACAACACGCATGGCTTACGGAGGAAGAATTCTGTTCCACTTCCCCATGGAGATAAGAGGAAATAAACAAGAAGAACTAGAAAGAAAAAAGAAGAAAACCCAGAGGGGTGTGTGTGTGTATACGTATATCTTCTTTCTTTCAACGTACCAGCCGTATCCCACTGAGGTGGGGTGGCCCAAAAGAAAAAACTGAAGTTTCTCCTTTTAAATTTAGTAATATATACAGGAGAAGGGGTTACTAGCCCCTTGCTCCCGGCATTTTAGTCGCCTCTTACGACATGCATGGCTTACAGAGGAAGAATTCTGTTCCACTTCCCCATGGAGATAAGAGGAAATAAACAAGAACAAGAATTAGAAAGAAAATAGAAGAAAACCCAGAATGGTGTGTATATATATGCTTGTACATATATGTGTAGTGTGACCTAAGTGTAAGTAGAAGTAGCAAGACATACCTGAAATCTTGCATGTTCATGAGACAGAAAAAAGGACACCAGCAATCCTACCATTATGTAAAACAATTCAGGCTTTCGTTTTACACTCACTTGGCAGGACGGTAGTACCTCCCTGGGTGGTTGCTGTCTACCAACCTACTACCATAACAAATACATTCATAACAATATAAATAATGCAATAATAGTATATGCAAACAGATTTTCTGCAAATTCCTATGAAAATGGAGGAGATAAAGGACAAATTGAGTGCTTTCAAAATTTTTAAGAGGTTGAGATGAACATTTATATGAAGAATGCCCAAATTCTTTCATATGCATAAAAGCTAAAGTGTGCTGCACATAAATGTTCAAAAGATAGCTTATTACTTGAAAGAAAAATAATAAAGCTAGAGTACTTCAAATGATACTAGGAACACAAAATTGAGCTATATGACAATGTAACAGCAGACAAATTTGTGTCTACAAGCAGCTAACATAATGTACAAATGAGTTAAAATATGTCCATCGAACAATTTCTATTGAAGCAAAATAAGGCTTAAAAATAAAATAAAAAATTAAGGCAACAAGTACAGCTATCAAAAAATGAAACAAATGGCAAAAGTTTAAAATACAAAATAACCATAATGGAGAGAATATACACTGTAGAGAAGAAGCTACTGGACAATAAGTTAAAAGAAGCATAACCAGTGATATTGTATGCAACACAACACTGCTAGTGTGTCTTAGCTCAGCAGCAACAAGAATACGTATGCAAGACAAGCTACAGTACTGAAGGAAAGATACAGGTGCAGAGTAAGTTTCTATTGTGGCAACATGTTGCTCAATTCAGAACTTTATTAAGACACTGATAAGGCAAAGCTCTACACAAAATGAAACATTGTTATTATAACAATTTGTTCTGCACCTTTGCCTTTCCTTCAATACTGTCCACAGTATACCTTTATGTCCACAAGTGCTTTAATCCTTTATATAAAGGAAAGAGAACAAGAGAAACTAAGAATTATAGGAGGGTAAGACTTTGAAATATACCAGGTAAATGCATGGTAGAGCTATTATTGAAATAATTATGGGTAAGACAGAAAGTAGGATTGCAGAGGAACAAAGAGGATTCAGGAAGGGTGTTAATAAGCCAGTTTTATCATGTCCTTGAATAATCTGGCTCTTCACAAAGTTTAAAATGGGACACAATCATATGAGAGACTACATAACTTGGTTTTATTGCCATTTCATTTTTTTTATTAACTGGTACACATAAATATTATGGTACCTTTTTTTAGTCCTGATATTAATTATCAAAGTTGATCTTCCTTAGATTTTCCTATGAATGTCATATATCTCATACATATTTAAAAAAAAAAATTAGACACAATACAGTGTGTGGCTACACCCTGATCTATATGTCATTTTACAAAATTAAATAAAAAAAAAACCTGCTTATCTAAGTAACCTATCACTCAGGATGGTTTATCTGTCCTATTTCATCACACATTATGAGTTTTCTTATGGTCATAAAAATCTCATACTTCAGATGCTTCCTGTTATATTTTTTTCAAATAAAACAAACTTTTTACTAACTTCATAGAAGATGAAATTCCTACTTTTCTATTTTGCACTGAAAAGGACAGTGTTAAGAGTTAAAGCATATGTAAAATATTAATACATAATAAACATGACTGCTCAGCACTTCTGCAGTAAGATGAATGAGACATTCTAACTTGAGTCGTCACTTGTGACCTAATATGAAACATTCTTAGAAATGAAGCACAGTACTGTATATGAATCACCTTCAGTATAAAGATTTACAAATGTTTTTGTTAATATAGGTAGCGTATGATCCTGGTAGTTAAGCACTTAATTATAATAATAATTTTTAATATACAAATTAAAGACAACATTTACTAACAAACAAAAAATAACAATTCAATAACATGTTTAAAGAAGCTTTATGACACCTGACTAAAGAAGGAACAAGGCCAGGTTGTATTTTAGAAGCTAGCAGACTACACAAATTCATCAAGCCCACAGGGCATTATAATTCTAATACAGCTGGTACAGAAACCAAAAGTATACTATACATGGAAAAATGAATATAAGAAAAAATTGCAAAAGCAAAAATTTATAAAGTATAAAGACTATTTAATGCGCAATCTTATATTTTCATCTGGGTGTTATGATTCATAGAGGCTAAAAAGTTTTTTCTAATGACAACAAAAACTGTTTTATATGCAGTATTATTATTAATTCATTATTAATTATTACTATGTGTATTATTATTATTACAGTATATGCAGGAGGAAATGCTTCTCTCTCTGTTCATTTTTACCCTTTGCAATATTATTTACTAGTATGTGGTTGATGAAGGCATTCTTTCCACAACAGGCCACTTGACATTGCTGCTATGGAGGTAGGTATGTATAATTATACACTCCTGCTTCACAGTCAGAGCCAGCAACATCTGCTTGCTTATAAGTTAGTCAAACCAAAACTTAGAATCCTCTGACAAATGTCTTAGGTGCTTTAAGGTATGTAACACATGAAGAGACTGCTGGTGAAACATTTCCACAATAAGATTCCCAAATGTTGCACAAGTGTCTCATTCTTCATCCTGAGAATGTACTGAATGTAGCCATCCTCACGAAAAATATTTTTCTTAGAACTTAAGGCAACACAGATGAGACACGAGTCCACAGATACAATACAGTATACACAGACCACTTTTTAGCAAGAAGAACAAGTTTTAAGTGATACAATTATAACAAAAGTATGTCAATATACAGTTGGTTTGTATGTTGTTATACAGTTCTTGTGTACTCATATTAAATCTCAAGTTAAGTGCAGTAGCTTAAATTATTTAAAAATTTATTAATGTCAGCAGTAACAAGTCCTACACTGTATGTGTGCCTCACTGGCACAGGAACACCTATACTGTATGTGCACCTCACTGGCACTTCTATACTGCATGTGTGCCTCACTAGCACTCCTATACTGTATGTGTACCTCACTGGCACTCCTATACTGCATGTGTATCTCACTGGCACTCCTATACTGCATGTGTATCTCACTGGCACTCCTATACTGCATGTGCACCTCACTGGCACTCCTATACTGTATGTGCACCCCACTGGCAGAGGAACACCTGTACTGTATACCCACCTCACTGGCACAGGAAGAAGATGAAGATGATACAGAGGAGGATGTGGATGAACGAGTGGTGGTGTACGCAACTAAGCGCTGGCTGCTACACGTCACTTTACTGCTAACCTGTGGAGTTTGTCATGCAAGTGAGACACCAAATACAATGCACAACACAAATGTAAGTGCTCAAGGCAAAATAAAATATATGCTATAACTAAATAATATACTGAAATCTATATACACAAATGTATACAATTATATATATGAAGGATGTGTCAAGGGGGTTAAGGCCTAGCTCCTGGGTCCACTTCATAGGTGTCAACTGAATGATATGGTTTATCCTCTACATGTAAAGCACTAAGGATGGTAACAGCAAGTTCAAAATCCAAACTTTAGCAAATAATGCCTTACAATATTTATTTTAAGGATGAGAGAATATATGTGGCTCACTTTTGAATCTTTATCAGCAGTATTTGCACAAGAGAAGCAAGGAATGGGAAATAGAAAAAGGGAGGGAGGGAGGGAGAGAGGAGAGAGGGAGAGAGGGAGAGAGAGAGGGAGAGAGGAGAGGGAGAGAGAGAGGGGAGAGAGAGAGGGGAGGAGAGGAGAGAGAGGGGAGAGAGAGGGAGAGAGAGAGAGAGGGGAGAGAGAGAGAGGAGAGAGAGAGAGAGAGAGAGAGAGAAGAGAGAGAAGAGAGAGAGAAGGAGAAAGAAGAGAAGAGAAAGAGAGAGAAGAGAGAGAGAGAGAGAAAGAAAGAGAGAAGAGAGAGAAGAGAAAGAGAAGAGAGAAGAGAGAGAAAGAGAGAGAGAAGAGAGAGAAAGAGAAGAGAGAAGAGAGAGAAGAAAGAGAAAGAGAGAGAGAGAAGAGAAGAGAGAGAGAAGAAAAAGAAGAAGAGAGAAGAGAAAGAGAAAGAGAGAAGAAGGTAACAAGAGATGATGGAGAAAGAGAGAGAAATGAGAGATGAGAAGATAGGAGATGAGCAACACGAAGACTGAGAATAAGAGACAACAGAATATACTGAAACCAGAGTAGTGAACTAGGCTCTCACATACTCCTCCTCTCCCTCTGCCTATCTTCCCCCACTCTCCTCTATCCTTCAACCCAACTCTTCCCTCTCTCACCATATTCCTCCCACTTCCCTATCCTCCACTTCCTCCCTCTCCTCCTGCCATCTATCCCCCCACTCTCCCTCTCACCCTCCTCTTCCCCACTCCTCACCATATCCTCCCCACTCCTACTCCTCACCTCCCCACCTCCTCCTCTCCCTCTTCCTCTCTCCTCACCCCACCCTCCACCAATACCTTGCCGCTCACTCATTCCTCTCCTTCCTCTCACCCACTCTCTCCCTCACATTCTCCTCCCTCCTCCTCCCTTCCTCTCTTGAAAGAAGAAGAGGTGGGAAGGGCTAGTTGCCAGGCAACTTATGTTGTATAAGATTAGTACATACACTGCTCTTGTATAGCCACTCACATTATTGCCTCCTTGGCCATTATCAAGTCACAACTGAGGAAGAAAAGGCAGAGAAAGTCAGAAAACAGGTCAGGAGAGGGAATAATAATAATTAGTATACAGTAGTAGTAGAAAAATTAGTAGTAGTGGTAGAACTAGTAGTGGTAGTAGTAATGAAAATAAATTATATCTAAAGGGGATGGAGAAACAGAAAACTTCATCTTCTCATACACATCACCAAAGTATTAATTGTGTTGATACCTTCCTTTCTCAATACATTGTCCAATGCTCTAACCTTCAGCACACTTGTGACTTGACCTGGCCTCTGTCTTCTCACTTTTTCTTCTGACCTGTCTCCTGCATTTCCTTCACCTTTCCCTGTATTTGCACTGTCTCCTCACATGTTGCTTTTTTCTTTTTCTTTCTTTCCTATCAAGGGTTATTAGGCCTACTGCATTGCTACGTTTTCTTAGTTCCTTGCGAGCCTCTTGGTGACATGCTATTAGGTGGAGTCCTGCTTCTCCATCCCCTTGAGATACAGTTTACCCTTGCTACTACTATTTCTACCTCAATTACTACTACTATGCTACTATCAGTAAACCCTCAATTTAATGTATTAATAGGGAGAGAGAGTGGGTGGCCAGTAATGGTGACTGTGATGGATAGACAAGATTGTTTTGCAATAATTATAACACTAACTGGCTATTCTGTAACGACGAACTTTATCTGTTGTTTACAAATCAAGTGATCCAGCAAATTTTGTTCTGTATTTCCCAAGTCTGTTAAATTTAGGTCCATTAAATCAAAGATTTACTGTACTTCCGTTACTACTAGTACTCTTTTTATTATTACTACTTTTATTACTACTACTTCTATTGTCTTCTGCCTCCCTCTTCACAACCTGTCTTCTGGTCTTCTATGTTTTTTCTCATTCAGTTGTGACTCGATTCAATATGGACTGATGCATCATCTTAAGCTTCCTCTCTGATTGTGGTTAATTTGTGAATTGTTCCAGACATGGTATTGTAACTTTTATTCTTCACTAGTACATACACACATTGTGGTCTTTTATGCAGACCCTCTTACATAGGTTAATTGTTGATTTTTGATAGTACATTATTAAACACAAATGCTGCATTAGGCTCCACATATCAAAAACTTGCACAAATGATTTACCATGTGAAGTTAATGTTCCACATCATATTTTGAATGTGTGAGTCTCTTGATGCAACCACAGGATATGGCAGAACCTTTGATGATAAGTGTAATCCTTCTCACTTCCTCTCTCTTTCCCCTTTCAATCTCTCTTTGTTCCTCCCCCTTCCCCCTTTCTCTCTCTCTGCTCCTCTCTCCCTTCTACCTGGGTAGAATTTTATTAGGAAAGTAGCAAGAGTGAATACATCAGTCAACTGTGGCTTCAGAATCAGCCTTCAGCACGAAATAATATGAAATTTGAGTTTGTAAACTCAACTGGCCCTTGAACTTTCTATGTAATAACCCACAACATCCCTGAGAGGTGAACTACCGATTAGTGAACACCTGCAGAAAGTCCCATCAACTGCAATATACTACAGTTTGTGAATTCCTGTAATCTGGAGGCATCTCAAAATTTATGTAGTTGTCAAAATGTGGGCTTCTAGCAGAAACAGCCTGGTTGACCAGATAATTAAATGGGAAACCTGGCCTAAGGCCACAGGTATGGACAAGACATGGTCTAATCTCACTGATGTAGAAGATAATACACTCCAAAAAAGCTGTAAGGTGACAGCTCTCAACCATTTCTAAAGAAAGCACACCAGATGGGTTTAAATGAAAGAAATAAAATTATAGAAGAGCCATCAAGCTAAACTGAACAAGAGATTTGATAAAGCCTTGGAATAATGATATGACAAGCTTTAATAATGTGAGACAACAACTACTGAAAGCATCAAGTCCCATACTTAGGATGCTCAGTTACAGAGAGGTGTATATCTCTCAGTGTATGAACTGAGAGATTAATGACCAACTTAAGTATTAAAGAACTCTCAACCAGTGACATACGATATTAATGAGCTTCGTGTAGTGGAAAGGCTTTAAACCTAAACCCACCAACCAATTCATTCTTAAGGCCAAATATGAAAAAAGAAAGTCTGAACTATCATACCTAACCATCTACCTGTGAAGGCTGGCTGAACAGATTCATAAAAGTAAAAATTATCTTTATTTGAATAAAATAAAGACAGCAGGCCCTCCAAGCTCACAGCTAGATGCCCCTAATTTTACAGCAGGCACGTATGAACACGTTAGATATGAGGAGTGAAGATCAATGGCTTTTGGGATTTGATGAACTGTTGGAGTGTGAGCAAGGTGATATTTCGTGAAGGGATTCAGGGAAACCAGTTAGCCAAACTTGAGTCCTGGAGGTGGGAAGTACAATGCCTGCACTCTAGAGGAGGGGTTTGGGATATTTGCTGTTTGGAATAACACCTAAACTGTCGTGTCAGTACGCCTCTGGCAAGACAACGATACTGTGAATGATGGTGACAGTGTTTCTTTTCCGGGTCACTCTTTCTCCATGGGAGACAGCCAGTGTGTTAAAAAAACAATTGTTTAATAATTTTAGTTTAGGATAATAGGTGGGGAGGGGGTTAGAATCCCTCTTTTCAATCCTCATTAATTTTTAACTAAGGTAAACCACAGTCAACTAATTTGTGACAGACCCAGGAACCATGGTGAATTTGTAGGTGCTGATAAAATATGTACACACAAGTGGGAAAAAAAATCACAGTTATAAATGCATGACAAAAAAAAAAAAAAAAACATGAAAAAATACCAGAGTGAATAAATTAACAAACTCGAAATACCTGAGCATTTTCATGCATTTTTACACAAACATTTAATTCCTTTTGGAACTGTGTGTGTATATGTCAATGCAAGAAAGCACTCAGGTGTCTGTAATCTGATAATTTTTCACTGTGGTATTTTTGCATATACAGAGTGTACATATACTTCATAATGCCTGTACTATGGAGTATAACTGCCCACTATATATGCATCAGTATATACATACTGTTCATGTATAAAGGGTTCAATAAAAACAACTCTCATATACAGGTCTCCCTCAACATTCGCGAGGGTTAGGGGATCAAGAGCCTCGCGAATGTTGAAAAATCGCAGATGTTTGGTGCCCCAATATATTGTAGGGAAATATAATACAATACTTTTCTTTAACTTGTTGAACCATAAACAATCATGAAAACGTCGTAAATTGTACTAAATACATACATGTTATGGTTTAATAACATGTATGTTATTAAATAGTTTAATAACATGTATGTTATTAAATACCACTGCCTCCACCATATCCTCCACCACTGCGAGTCGCTACTACCCTCCCTCCGACCCCCCCAACTGGCAGCCAGCCCTCCCACCAGTGTGATGAGTGTTTTGTTTGTTCATTATTTGCTATTAAACTACAGTATAAATAATGTAAACCCATTCATGACTGCATATTGGAATGGCTATTCGGACAGGTATTGGGCGGTGACATCATGTGTTTACTCTTGAACACAGCAAAGAATCAAACATTTCTGCTACTGCTAATAATAATAATAGTAGTAATAGTAATACTACTACTACTACTACTACTACTACTACTACTACTACTACTACTACTACTACTATTACTACTACTACTA